GTGGAGCCCTGCCGGGAGTGCCTTGTTGGAGCTGTGGGACGAAGGCCAAGTCCCAGGTGTCAGGCCAAGAGCAGGTGTGGCAGGCATGGGTCCAGGTGTGTGTCACACTGCACTCTCCCATGCGTCCCGCACCCACCCCGCCTCTGCGCCTTATCTCCATTCTTGGCACAGTTACCAGAGCGCGCAGCTTACGGCCAGTCTCAGCAGATCCTGAGCTGGGTCTCTCTCTGGGCTGTGGGGCAAGTGTGGCTGTCCCCCTGTGTCTCCTCCGGTGGGAGGCTGCTGGCCGGGCCGGAGTCCTCGGTGATTCTGAAAGCCCCTTGTCCCCTGTGCTGGTTCCAGACGCTGCCGCCTCTTCCTCTCTCACACAGTGCTCCCAGCCTGCATCCGAGACTCGAGGGGCCCATGTGCAGCCCTCCAGGCTGTCCTGCTGGGCACCCTCTCTATGTGGCCATGATGTCCCCAGTGGAGGCTCTTGATGCCCCTCACCTGATGGTGGTGCCCCTGGTGTCTTTCTAGGAGGGTGACTGAGAGCCTGGGCTTGGGTGCTGGTGCCCCAAGTCTGTGCCTGGTGCTTGGTGCTGGGTGACCTTCATACTCTTCTGGGGCTCCCAGGTCTGCCTCCCCAGGCCCCGACCCTTCCAGAGGGGCCGAGCCCACTATGCAAAGAGCCATCTGGGGTATTTGGGGGATCTGACCCCCTCACCCCACGTGGCCCTAGAGTGCCCCTGGAAGAGCTGTCCAGAGGGCTCTGGCCGCAGCAGCACGGGGCGGTGTTCTTGGCCACAGTCATATTTGAGTCTGGGCCACAAGTCCGGCTTGGGGTCCCTCTGCAGGCTGTGTACCTGCTCACTGCCACCTCCTGCCAGGGGCCAGATCACCCCCAGCTACTTAGACCCCGCCTAAGGGCACACCTACCCCTGTGGTGGGTGGCTTCTGGCTCTGTGGGGCATGGTCTACTTGACCCACAGGTTTGGTGGCTCTGCCCTGGAACCCTGATGGGCCCAGAAGTTCCAGGCCAGCACCCAGCCACTCACTAGTCTTCCCGGAATGCAGTGAGTGGGGGCCCAGGGCACCCCACTGCCAAGATGCCAAATGTGAGCCCAGGATGCGGCTCTCTAGGGATACGGAGGCACAGACCCTCTTGAACTGGGCCTGGAGACCTTCCCTGCAAAGAAGGTTCCCCCGTCCTCGGTTCCCTCGGCTACTGCACCCGAACTGCTCTAGTCACCGTGCACGCTGCTTGGTTGTCACATTCTCACTGGAGTGGGGAAGGTCATCACAGGGGCTCAAGACCTTTTGTTCAGTTTCCAGCACCATGTGGCCCCTGAGCCCCCACCCTCAGCTCCATGTGGCTCTCTGAATCCCTCACCCCCAAAACTCACCCCACAGGGAGGTCTGGGCTCCCCTAGTGACCCCTGCTGGTGGCCCAGGAGCATCGCAGCATTGCTGGGTTCTTTTGGTTCCTGGGAATAAGGGTGCAGAGACTGGCGGAACCTTCTGGGGGGACATCCCAGTTCAGGCTGTGCAGAGAGCACCTTGGCCTGAGGTACCCTGGGCAGTGCCATTGCAAGCTCCCCTCTCCCACACAGTAAGCCTCAGGCTGTGGGGTCTTTGCATGGTTGGGAGGATCCAGGTAGCCCCTCTTTGTGCCATGCCGTACCCACAATGTCACTTCCTCACCCACACTCTGAAGCATTCTCTGGAGAGGGATCCCAGGAGGTGGCCTCACCCCGCAATGCTCAGGACTGACTTCTGGTTCTGTGCTCAGTAATCACTCCTGGTGAGCTGGAGGGACCCTATGGGGTGCCAGGGATGGAGCTTGGGTTGGCCCTGTGCAAGACAGGTGCCCTACGCTGGGGACCTTGGGGGCGGTCACACAGGTATGCCAGCCTGGCAGTACAGGGTGCATGGGACGGACCATGCTAGTGATGCCGTCTGTCCCCACACCCGGAATGAGCTCGAAGGTCACCCCTGGGCCCACCTCCCGGTACTTGGCTGCCGGGGCAGTTAGACAACCCCACTCTAGGCCTCACCTAGGAGGGGGTGGGCCCAGGGTGCCCTCCGTGCTTGGTGTCCCCTGCTCCTGGTCCTCAGGGAAGAGCAGGGAGCAGGGGCTGTGGATCCTCAGGGGCAGAGTCCTGCCAGCCACGGGCTGGGGGTGGGGGTGGAAGTGGGGCTCAGGCCTGGTCCGACACCCAAGGTCTGACCTGTGTCTCTCAGCTGAGCCCGAGTGTGGAGTGGTGAACATCCATTTCATGACGTGGGGCGCAGAGGCCATGGACACAGCAGCGGAGAGATTGAGGCCCCCTGGAGCTCACTGCCAGGAAGGCAGCCCCCTGGCAGTTCTGAGGAGGGTTGAGGGGCTTGGGAAATCCCATCAGCCTCTGCATCTGCCTTTGGGTCATGAGTGCCTGGACTCAGTGTCGAGAGCGCAGGACGGGCATGGTGGGAAGAAGGGTCTTATTAAACAAGGTCTAGTGTTCTGATCACAGGAGGGGACTGTCCTTTTTAGGCCCCGTTGCCATAAACAGACACAAAGGCAGGAGACTTATGTCAGAGGCTAAGAAATGGTGAGTTTGACATGGACATGGGGCGGGCAGCACAGTGGGGTCTCACCCTAACAAGCCATCTTCTCTAAAAATCCTGCTCATACCCTACAGCACCCCCTTGCCCCTGCCCCTGTAACTTGGTGGGCTCCAGGCACTGTTTAGAGCCTTGCCCCTCCTTGGGCCTCTGCTCGGAGCTCTCAAAGTTGGCTGAGGCCCCTCCATGCCCCAGGCATGTCCTTTTCTGGGCAGGGTTCTGCTCCTTGATGCGTATGGGGTGCTTTCTGCTTGGCTGGAAAACAGTGGGTGTCAGCTTCCAGGGGCCCCACCCCAGCGAGCAGCCTAATGAAGACTGTGCCGGCCACGGCTGCTCACAGAGATGCAGCAAGGTCGGAGCTTGTAGCTGGATGGGGGGTTGGGGAGCCACTCCTTGGTAGGGTGCGCCCTCACGGTCAGGCCGTTCTGCCGGGCAGAGTACCCAATGCTGTCCTGTCCCCCATGGGGACTCGTCGGGGCCACTTTTACTCCTGCCTCTGCCAACTCTGGGGGGCCCAGCTGGTGAAGGCAGCAGGAGCGCCACACCACAGCAGGCGGCACAATCCCCCCGAGCCCCCCACGTGGGAGGGGCCCCACATGTTAATGGGAACCCGGCGATCCATGACTTCACGGCTGACGCCCGCTCGGGGTGATGCAGGAATGTTCATATCGGTGATCAATCAGCGGATTTGCAAGAGAGGCATAAAGGCTTTAATTTTAATTGTGTTGGGTGAGCCCGTGTTGGCAGCGACATTTGAATAGGTCAGAGGCAGCCCTCACCCCTGTTATGTAGCTGGTATTAGATGCCACTCATTCCCAGGGCTGCAGCCTTCTGAATCGCTGGGTACCGCATGCTGGCAAATTGGAAATGTCCCTTTGCTTTAAGAACATGATTGATATCCCTTGCAAACCAATGTTACACCTCATGGTACATGGCTCTCGCCCGCCTGTGCCACCCTCCGAGACACCGGGGCCGTAGGCATTTGCCCAGGAACTTGGGGGGGGCGGTGATGGCATGCCAGTAAGAACCCGCCTCCTGCCACGCCTCTCCTTCCCGGAAGCCGCATCCCTAAGCACTGTCAGGACAGGGCAAAGATCCCTGTTCTCCTGCAGGGTTGGTTCCGGGAAAGAGCCATGGGGACAGAGCAGAGACATGAAAGACCAAGTGCGGAGATTTATTTGCTTACTTGGGTACTCCGTGATCTGCTCGGTTCTGAGTCCTTTCTGGAATGACCTGAGATGGCAGACAAAGTGCCCTGGAACAAGGCCTTTGTGTCATGTGCTGCTTTGAGCCTAGATGAGCTGCAGTACCAGGGAAGTCGGGAGGCTGACCCCAGTCAGCCTCAGTTGCTTCTGACAGATGGGGAAAGGGGGCCGGTGCTCACCAGATCACCGCTGGGGCCAGGGTCAGCGTGTGCCCATGCGCAGTGAGCAGATGATCCCGTGGTGCCTCCTGGGAGATGCTCTGGCAGCGGGTCTCCCTGAGTTGGCCTCAGGCCCTGGGAACCTCGAGGGCAGAGCCCAGCCCTCCGGTGGGTGTTTCGGTGGCCCTGTTTATCACGTGGTGACCAGGCTAGCCCAGGAGCGCTTTGTCCTCCCCACACTCAGAAACAGTTCACGGGTGGCCCTGCTACCCATCCCACTCCCAAGAGTGCCACAGCACAGCCCAGATGGTCGGCGGATATGTTTTCGCTGTTTAAAAAAGTAGCCAATCACTGTCTCTGAGTGAATCAGATTAAGTGTAATCCGTACTAATGTTCCAATTAAGTCACAGAAAGCAATTAACTCTGCAGAAAAATGATAAGCTTGGTCCCATAGTCATCGGTGCCTCACTGGGTTCCCTAGACACTCGGCTGCACAGGAACTGAGTCAGACATTTCAGTTGGAGCCCCCACCTCAGGCTTGCAGTGGGGCTCCCTATGGGGGAACCCAGGTACACATGGGGGGCCCGGGCATCCTAGCTCCCTGCTCAGATCCAGGGGAGTCCCCTTTGCCCTCATACCAGGCTGACTTTGGAATCTCCTGCCCATTGTTCCTCTGTCCTCCCTCCTGTCCTGGATACAAACAATGTATGACACTTCTTAAACCATGACCAAAAACGCTGCTTACAACACAATTGTCACTTCAAGTCACATCACCTGTAACAGGGACACAGACATGCCAAGGAAGGTTGATGGGGTTGGACTGGTCGGGGCTGCCTGTCTGTCCAGGGGCAATGTCCCATTTAGGCTTCTCCCTGAAGCTCCGCTCTCTACACCTCAGGGAGTAAAGTCACTACTGCCTCCATAGCCCAGGAGTGGGGCCACTGCCACCCGAAATTTAGGGCAGATGACCCAAGAGTGACCCAGGAGTCACTGTAGAGCCAGCAGACTGTTCCAGGAGATGAAGCCAACAGCAGCAGTGAGCACCTTTGGGCAGACTTGGTGCCATGGCCCTGGACCAAGTCAGCAGTGAGTGTCCGCAAGACCTGGTCCAGGAGGAGCTGGATCCGCAGAGCCCCCACGGACACAGCCCCACCTCCGGCTCTCACATTGTCCAAAAGTGGAGGTTCATTGGCTGGGCCTCCAGCCGGGGGTACCCACTTTCCTGGGGACCGCAGAGCCCCCTGAGTCTGGGGCCGAGAGGATGTAGTCGATGCTGAACTTGATGTCCCTGGGACCGTCCTTCCCCACGGTGGATGGGCCCTCGGGGTCCGGGCCCTCGCGGCGGGCGGGTTCCGGAGACCCCCCGGATCCCGGTCCAGGAGCGGCCCCCGCGCGTGCTCCCCGCGCGCCCTCGCGCTTCGGACCGCGCCGCCGCCGCCGCCGCCGGTAGTTGCCGTTCTCGAAGAGGTCCAGCAGGGACTCGCAGCCGCCGGCGAACGTCCAGTAGTTCCCTTTGCCCTTCTCCTGGCCAGCGGCCCGCGGCACCTGCGGCGAGAGGCGGTCAGCGCAGCCCCCTCCCCGTGGCTGGCGGGCCAGGGCGCGCGGCTCACCTTGACGAAGCAGCTGTTGAGCGACAGGTTGTGGCGGATGGAGTTCTGCCAGGCGCGCTGGTTGGAGCGGTAGTAGGGGAACTTGCGCATGATGAAGTCGTAGATGCCCGACAGGGTCACCCTGCCCGCGGGGCTCTGCTGGATGGCCATGGCGATCAGCGCGATGTAGCTGCAAAGGGGACATGAGCGGCCCCGGCCCGGCCGGGTCCCCCACCCCCCGCCCGCCCGCCCGCCGCGCCCTCTCCGCCCGCTGCGCGCCCCGCGCCCGGCCGCACGGTCACCTGTACGCGGGCCTCGCCCCGCGCCTCTCCTCGTCCGAGCCGGCCGGGTAGTCGTCAGCGTCGTAGTTGAAGCAGTTATAGGGGTACTGTGAGCTGTCGAACATCTCGGCGCGCCCTTGGGGGCCCCGCGCGCCGCCCGCTGCCCGCGCGCCTGGTCGCCCCTGCGCCCACTCGGGCGCCCTCAGAGTCTCACCGCGGACCGCTTTCCAAGACGCTGGCAACTTGGGTTTCTGGGGTCCCCCGCCCGCCCAGCCCCACCGAGTCCTCGCATCCAATCCGGACGCAGGGGAGGGAGGTGTGCCTGGTGGCTGACGCCCTCCTGGGAGGAGGGGAGGAAAGTGGCGCAGGATGGTCGAGGACTGGAGATCTACGTTGCGTCCTGTGGTGGGGGGGGGGGGGAATGGGGATGCGGCCGGGGCTCCCCCCACCTCCGCGCCTCGCATCTAGTTTGGATCCCTGGCCCGTTGCTCTTAAGCAGTTCTTCCCTGGCCCAAGATTCCAGAATGACCCCTGAGTTGTCCTCTACGGGTCTAAGCCACAGAGGCCTGGGGATGGCTGCTCATCCCAGAGTTCTGTTCCTCCTGGGCTGGGGCAGCAGGGTCGCCTTCGGGGGCGGACACTGCTCTCGATGGGAGCCTGCCTGCACCTGGGCAAGCCGCTGCCGCGAAGCTGCCCCTTTCCTAGCAGAATGAGCTGCACACGTGCTTGCATGTGTGCAGTTGTGTGTGCATGTTATTGTGAATGTGTAGTTGTGTGTGCAGTTGTGTGTGTGTGCAGTTGTGCGTGTGTGGCTGTGTGTGTGCGATTGTGTGTTGCATAACATTGGTTTGTGCTTGCTCCTCCCGCAGGGAGCTTAGGTTTATTGAGTTACTCCCACCAACAGTGCTCCTGAGGCACACCCAATTCCATTCCATAATCCTCTGTGATTATCTTTAACCTCTCGTTTGTGCTCTTCTTTCCCTGTCAATCACAAGTTTCCCCAAATCAGGCCCTGTAACCTGTAGGTCAAATCTTCTGAAGGCTAGTATATACTCCCATCACAGTGCTCCCAGGCACACCCTAGGATCTAGTATATGTAAGTGAAATATTGCTTTTCTCTTTCTTTTATGTCCTTTGCATAGTTTACTTTAGAGCAATGTCCTTTTTGTATAGACACAGGAAGACAGTTAATGCTATGCTTTAGTAACTTGGAGTTAACTGACTCCGGATAACATTTACTCCTGGGCATCTGTCATACTTACTTGGCTTAGGCCTCAGTTGCCCTTAGTTCCTATCACCCCAAAAGGAGGGTGCTGGCGAGGGACAAGGATGGACCCAGGGCAAGCTGCAAGCTACCCTGGCATGGAAAAGGGACAGGCCAAGCACCGTAAGAAGTATGAGAGCATTAAGAAGTATGAGAAGTTAAGAGCGCCATCATGGAACAAAGAGAGATTAAAGATAAACACAGAGGGGGTCAGAGCAATAGCACAGTGGATAGGGCTGGGTTCAATCCCCAGCATCCCATATGGTCCCCTGAGCACTGCCAGGAGTAATTCCTGAGCGCAGAACCAGGAATAACCCCTGAGTATCACCGGGTATGACCCTAAATAAATAAAGATAAACACAGAGGATTGGGAGTGCCTGATGAAATTGGGTGTTCCTGGGAGCACTGTGATGTGAGTAACTCAATAAACCTAAGCTCCCTGCAGGAGGAGCAAGGACAACCCAATGTTATCCAGCAATTATGCATGCTCGTGTGGTTGTGTGTGTGCACATGTGCATACAGTTGTGTGTGTATGTGTAGTTGTGCATGTGTGATGTGTGGTTATGTGTGTGCAGTTGTGTGTGCATGTGGGCGTCTATGACTCTGTGTGCATGTGTTTTTATGTATGTCTGTGTGTGTGGTGTGTGCCTGTTTGGGAAGAGGCAGCAGCAGAGAAAGTAGGACCAAATGTTGGGGAGAGGAAATGTGTCAGTCTGTCACACAGGGATGTGTGCATGGTTGTGTTGTCCTCATCTGCCTGAGGCAGGAGTCAGGCTTGGCATTCTCCGGAAGTCCCTTCAGAGGCCTGAAGTTCTGTCCAGCTCGTGTGGGCGCTGTGCCTGTGGAAGGTGGGCAGGCCACCTGGCCGGGAGCCCTTCTGCCTGACACGCAGCACACTGTCTTCTGCCAGCTCTGAGCTCTAGAACACATGCAGTGACCAAGCACCATGTCTCTGGGCAGGAGGGCACAGAGCCAAGTGCAAGGACGTGGATTAGGAATGTCCTAGTAAATGAGGGGCCTCAACTTTTACCCAGGCCTGCTCCTTGGCCCCATCCCCTCAGAACAGACTTAGCCCATGCCCCCCTGACCACTCATACTCCCCAGACTGGAACCAGCATAGATGTGTCCCTGGCCACAACTGAAAGGCTGACAGGGTGCAGAGCGGCTGCCCCATCCCACACAGGCACACGCCACCCCCCAAGGGGGGGCTCTGGACCTCACTGCTCAGGTGCTGGTGGACAACTGGGGTGGGGGGGTCCAGGTGAGGGTGCCTGGGCCGAGAGACCCTGGTCTCTGTAGATGTCACTCTTGGGGGAGCTGGGAAGGACCCACGGGTCTCTGTCTTATTCCTTCTGCTGCATCCAAGCCAGAGCATCTGAGCAGAAGCCCAGGTGCAAGTCCCCACATGCAGGCAGATTGGCAAGTGGGGACAGTACAGTGACATGGGCACAGGCTGCCCTGGCCAGAGGGAGAGGCAGTTGAGGGCTCATGAAGCTTCTGTTCTGAGCAGCTCAAGGCTTTCATGCCAGGGTGTGAACCTGTGGGCCTTCCCAAGAGTCTCATCCCAGCCTCTCCATGTGACAGTCTCTGCCCGCCCAGCCAGGGACGCCCAGAAGCACACTGAAGCCTGCTTCCTGCTTTGTGCCATGACGAGGTGATGAGGCTGATGGACACTTTGTGCAGGGTGGATATTGGGTGAGAGCTGCCCTATGTCCTGTTTTCTCCTCCAAAGCTCCAGGGCCCAAGTGGGAAAGGTGCGGGGGTGGGGGGCTCCTTCCAGGCTGAGCCCTGGCCGAACAGAGTGGGCGTGGCTCTCTTCCTGACTCAGCTCAGTCACACCCCTTGGCTAGGCCTTCTGTACAGCTGTGCTGGACAGGACCCAAGGCATGGGACGTTTTGGGGTTACCTGGCAGCATCTTAGCCTGCCTCCAAAAGGGGAACCCCACAGGGCATGAGAACATGGCGACTCTCCTCCGTCTCATGCCGCAGAACAGGGTCCATCTGTCTCATTCCTACTGTCCTGTACCCATGGCGAGGAGCACTGCTGAGAAGCCCTGTGAGCACGCAGCTCCAGGACCTGCACCGTCAGTCTGAGGTGGACAGTCTGGAGCCCCGCTTACATGTGTCACTGTCCTGGAGCCCTTGTCAGACAGTCTGGGTCCCCCTGAGTGAGTGACCCAGGTCTCCGTTCTGAGGGCAGCTGCTTCTTGCATCGTGACACTGCACATGAGCTCACACTGGTTCCTGAGAGGCTGCAGAACATGTTCCGCATGTTCCCGTGTCTTTGCCCAAACTGCTGTGTTAGCAGGGACAGTGCCAGCAGCTTGCCTGGTTCTAAGAGTGGCTGCAGTGCAGACCTTTTCAAGTGGCCACACAGACCCCACCCCTCTGCCCTGCTCCCAGAGCAGAGAGGACATCCTCCCCAGGTTGACTGCCCCAGCCCCCTTGGGAGCACCCCAGCACTGCAGAGGCATGGGCACCTTCCTGGGTCCCAAGTAACAGGAATGTCCTGTGGCCTCACCGAGCCACCTGGAGACCCTTATCGACCGCAGGCAAGAGTGGGGCCGGACCGGGCAGATGCAGCAGAGCAGATGGTCCCAGAGTCATTATGTGGGGCCTGAGGCGGAATGGAGGCCTGGGAGGGTGGGTTGAGTTTCCCTCCCCACCCTGAGCAGAGCCCCTGGCAGCTGAAGACCTCTGGTTTCAGACACAGCCATGCTTAAGACCACTCTCCACGCGTTCGGATGAGCCTCACGCATGAAGGAACTGGCAGAGGAACCCAGATGTGCGGGACCTGGGGTGTAGATCTCCAAGCCTGCTCAGATTGGGAATGGGCCTCCTCCACTCAGATCCCCCATCTTCCAGTATGTAGGCGTTACACCCACCAACTGCCCCCGGCGTCATGTAATCCCATCAACAGCCAAGACCCAGAGACTATAAAACCCAGCTCTTGGAAGCACGCGGCCACAAATGCGACATCTTATTATCTAGTTCTTACTCTGGAGAACCTGGCAGGCTACCAAAAGTATCCTGCCCCACACGGCAGAGTCTGGCAAACTCCCCGTGACATATTCAATATGCCAAAAACTAGTAACAATGATGGGTCTCATTCTCCTGACCCTGAAAGAGCTTCAAATGTGGCACTTTCTAAAATCTCAGGGCTAGGATTAAGGAGACGTTACTGGTGCCTGCTCGAGGAAATCGATGAACAACAGGATGACAGTGATACAGTGAGGAGGAATGGAGGCCTGGGCAGCTCTGGCCATGCTTCTGGCCTTCTACACCCCTTCAGGATGCTCGCAGGAGAGCAAGGCGAGAGACTAGCATTCAGCCCTCAGCTGCACCGGTTCACGGCTGGCCCACCTTCCTCTGATGCTGGAGTCAGGGTCACTTGTAAAACACAGTGTTCTTCAAAGACTGCTTTTCCACAGCTGCAGGCCATCTAATACGGCGCATTCGCTGAGGTGTAGGTGGTCACACACGTGATCCCGGGCACCCATCCAGCTACACATGTTAAATGGAGTCCTCCTTAAACATGGGCAGGGATAAGGCTCAAAGTGCTGCAGCGTGGCCTTGCTTGTGCAGGATCCTGGCTTGCCTCCCCCCCCCCCCCCCACATGGCCCCCAGCACTGCCGGGAGCAGCCTCAGAACAATCAACAAGTCAAGTCTGGATCCTGGGGAGGGTCCCCAGAGCCTTGCCTTGGTTGCTGACAGGACAGTCAGAACTGGGCCCACTCCGGCCAGAAGGCTCTGGGATTCCTGGTGATGTGGCTGCAGCCCTCACAGCCAGGACAAAAGACCTGGCTTTGTGTGCACCCAACACTGTCCCTCACCAGGGACCCGAGGAGCCCTCCTGACAGAAGGGGAAGCTCCCAGCTTGCACAGGGCTCAGAGCAATGGGTCAGAGAAACAGGAGATAGGAATTTGCTTTGCATGTAGCTGACCCCCGTTCAATCCCCAGCAACGCATGGTCCTCAAGCACTGCCAGAAGTGCCCCCCTGCTGAGACAGACCCCCCCCTACTTCAATCCCTGGCACCAATGAATGACCCCTGAGCACAGAACCAGGAGTAGCCTCTGAGCAATGCAGAGTGTGGACCTCCAATACAAGTGAGGTCAGAACTGTGCTGAGGTCCTCGGCCCTGGTGTCGCACCACCAGACCTCACAGAGACCAGAGCAAGGATCACTCCAGTTTGGTGGCGGGAAGAGCAGCGGAAGGGACCATTGCTCCTTCAGAACCTCTTGGTTCCAGGCTGTAGTTTTGGATCAGAGAAGAGGGTCTGAGGACACAGGATGGACCTAAGGCCTGACCTGCTTGTGACTGAGAAATGCTGACTCCAGGGACTGTGTGAAGAACCAATGCAGTTACTGTAAGAATAGGTCACTGTCGGGGCTAGAGCAATAGCACAGCAGGTAGGGCATTTGCCTTGCATGCGGCTGACCTGGGTTCAAATCCCAACATCACATACGGTTCCCCTGAGCACTGCCAGGAGTAATTTCTGAGTGCAGAACCAGGAGTAACCCCTGAGCATCGCCGGGTGTGACCCAAAAAGCAAAAAAAAAAAAAAAATAGGTCATTGTCAAGATTGGAGAGATGGGACTTTGAGATGGGCACTTGCCTTGCAAGCAGCTGATCAGGGTTCGATCCCCAGAATCTCACATGGTCTCCTAAGCCTGCCAGGAGTCAGCTCTGAGCACTGCTGGGTATGGTCTAAAATCGGAAAGAAAAGACGGCTGCTCTCGAGGGCGTCTCCCGGAGGGTGAGTCGCCTTGTGTCCTGTGTCCCACGGCCCCGGCCGCTCCCTAGACTGGGAAGTGGGGTGCCAGCACTGGAGTGGGAACACAGACTGCTGCTCCCAGCACCCTCTGCTTCTTTCTGAACTTTCTCGCAGCCCAGACACCCCCAGTCCCACCCCTCCCTCTTTGCTCTTCCCTTTCCAAGCTCTGCCACGTCCGATGTCAGCGTCTCGGCTGACAGACGTTCCAGGGGAAGTCATGTGACAGAGTGCCCTGATGGCCCTGAACATGACCACGGTCTCCCCTGTTCTAGCTGGGGGTCATACCGACATTTTATCTGCAGTTCCATCACATTAGTAGTCTCTATCTTCAGCAATTTTGCTTGCCTGTGAGTACGTCTCTCTTAAGGTTCTCCCTCCCTCTCTCTCTCTCCCTCCCTCCCTCTTTCCCCTCTCTTTCTCCCTCCCTCTCTCTCTCTCCCTCCCTCCCTCTTTCCCCTCTTTCTCCCTCCCTCTCTATCCATCTCTCTCTATCCCTCTCTCCCACTATCCCTCCCTCTCCATCTCTCCCCTCTCTACCTCTCTCCCTCCATCTCTCCCTCCCTCCCTCTTTCTCCCTCCCTCCCTCCCTCTCTCGCCCTCTCCATCTTTCTCTCCTTCTCTCCAACTGTCTCCCTCTGTCTCCATCTCTCCCCATCTCTTTCCTCTCTCTCTCTCCCCTCTCTCTCCTCTTTCCCTCTCCCTCTCTCCTTCTGTTTCCCTCTCTCCCTCTCTCCCTCCCCCCCCTCTCGTTTTAACAGAGAGCATCCTACATTAATAGGAACGCCAAACCAGTGACTGGCAAAGGGGGAGCCAGAGCGAAACCTTCAGGTACTTCCTATGTTCTGAGCAAGGGTGGAGCTGATGGTGAGGTTTCCCGAGGCCTTTGCTGCCCGTGGTGCAGCAGAATCAAAGGGGACAGTGGGAAAGAACTCTGAAGAGGTGAGAGGATCACGGCATCAGGACAGGCTTGCTCCTTCTGGGCCACTGCCTGGGTTTGCTACACAGGTAGTTTGTTGAATTGGGATGGGGTTTGGTTTTCCTGGGTAAGTTAAGTTTTGACGCCTGGGGCTTGGGGAGGCGTTCCTTAGTTCCCTGGATGAGTGAGAAGCCTCTGGAGAGTCAAGGGCAGGGGAGACCCAGGCTAATCTCACTATTCACTGCTTTATACGTTATCCCTCCCTCTCTTCAAAACACCTTTAGAAACAAAAAGGCAAGTAGTGCTGAGCATCTTAGCTCCCGGGCATGCTGAGGACAGCTTGGGGCCTCAGGGCCCAGGGGACTCTTGCAGGAGTGGGTGAGCAGAGTGTGGTGAGACTCGGGCAGGACTGGAAAAATGGGGCAGGATCAGTGGCCTCTTCTACCTGCCGTTTTTCCTGCATCTCACATCCCAGGATGGGCATGGGAGGGGTGACCGGGCAGGGTGAAAGAGCTACAGACACGCCTGATGCAAGCCCACCTCTACCCCTTCCTGGTCCTCACCTGTTCTTCCGTGGCTGGGTACAGGGCATTAGGGCAGAGCATGGTCTCCAAAGCACCTCTTCTGGGGCTGAAGCAATAGCACAGTGGGTAGAGCATTTGCCTTGCACGCAGCCGACCAGGGTTCGATTCCCAGTATCCCATATGGTCCCCTGAGCAACGCCAGGAGTAATTCGGGAGTGCAGAGCCAGGAGTAACCCCTGAGCATCGCCGGGTGTGACCCAAAAAGCCACTGTCCACTGTCCTCCCGTTGTTCATCGATTTGCTCAAGCGGGCCCAGTAACGTCTCCATTTTTGAGACTTCTTGTTACTGTGTTTTATGTCTCGGTAGCTTGCCGGGCTCTCCGAGAGGGGCAGAGGAATTGATCCCGGCTTGGCCCCTGGCTGGCTGCGAACAAGGCAAACATCCTACCACTGTGCTATCGCTCCAGCCCATACTATGTCTATGTCTATATGTCTATGGCCCATATGTCTATGGCCATACCACCCTGAACGTGCCCGATCTCGCCTCATCTTGGAAGCTAAGCAGGGTTGGGCCTGGTTAGTACTTGGATGGGAGAACCAAAAAGAAAAAAAAAAACCTCTCCCTTCACACTCTCAAGTGGCATTTGGGTGATGGGAATGCACGTGAACCTTCTGGACCTCTTAAGAGCCATAAAGCTTTCCGTGTGAGAGGAGGCAGGGAGGTGGTTTTGAAACACCTTACAATTCCCTCCTCCCCCCCCCCCCCCGCGCTTAATATCAGAAAACAAAAACTCAAAACCAGTTAAAATTTGCCTTTTAGGGGTTGGAGTGCTAGTACTGTGGGGAGGGCACTTGTCTTACACGTGGTAAATCCGGTTTTGATCCCTAGCACCCGGTATGGTTCCCTGAGCCCAGCAGGAATGACCCCTGACTTCAGAGCTGAGTAAACACTGGTGTGGCCCTAAAACCACAGTAGCAACAACAAATTGCCTTTCAGACCCCCAGGTCTAGCCTCTAACCAGGCAAGTGTGTCATCACGAGAGCACTGGCCAGGGAGACGGTGCTCCAGCTGAATTATTTCCCGATTCTGGGTGTGGAGGTGACCGACTGGAGGACAGTTCCAATGCATTTGCCTCCAGAAAGACCCCAGCGCCTTCTGATACTGCTTAGATTTTTCCTATTTTCTATCAATACTTTCTCCACTGAGGTCTTAGAAGCAAAATGAAATTCTGGTTCATACTGTGGCCCCTGATAACCTCAGGTCTTTATTGTGATTACTTTGAAATTTCAAAGATCCAGGTAGAAATGTTTTACTTTTGCTGGTACAATACCTGAATCCCTAATAGTGCTCTAGCTCACTGCAAGAGCTGACTTTCTTTCTTCTTAGGTCTTTATTCTGGTTTCCCTTCATTTCTATAATACAGCCACCCAATCTTTTTGTGTGTGGCTAATATGTCATTTCTATACAAGTACAAATGCGTTTCTCATTGTGTTGCTATTTTGGAAAAAATGAAGAGGGGTTTGTCGGGGACTGGAGGAAATTGGTCAAAATGGTGCACCCTGCTTCTGTCCAGTGAATAAACAGAACACCACTGATGGGTTCTACAGCTCTAAAGGAAAAGAGAATAGGGTGTGTCCTCCAGCACAGGGAATAAGTTCCAATAAAGTCAGCGCGACAGACAAAATAGAGACACAGGACACAGGGATAAGTAGCCAGGGACCAGCAAGGTCACAACCTCAGCCACGCAGATCCCCAAGAGCACCCTAAGGGCGAGGTACCTCCAGACGGGGCAGGAGAGCCTATGGCACCCCACCTCATGGCACAGTCAGACCCTCTGTCCCTGGACACACAGAATTTCAGAGGACACGGCGGTCAGACACGGCTGCCTCCACGGGGCAGGACCAGCCTGCCGGGCTCCAGGCCACCGCTCAGTGGAAGAGGCCGTGTGGGGTGAAGAGACATAAAAACATAGTCAGATTTGCATGGACAGAGAGCCCGGGAGAAGAGCACTGTCCGGGGCGGCCCGGCCCAGGGCTCAGTGGGTGTGGGGAGCCGGTGGTGTGGGTTTGTGTCTGCGGGTGGTGGGGTACGGTGGTTGGAGAGCTGGGGCCGTCTGCTCGTCAGAGGACGCGCTGGCGCACGGCAGGCTAGTGTCTGCCCACACACTCGGGCTGCCGGGGTCCTGGCGTGGACCCTGCCTGCTTCTGCTGGCCTCTGTCCGGAGCCCCTGTGTGGCCCCACCCAGGGAACCACATGAGCTTGCGGAATCTTTATTGCACGGTCACCACACTGCAGACGATTCTGTCTCTGGCACTGCTGGGGCGTCTGCTGCTCAGCAGGGCAGGGCAGTGCGGCCCACAGGGCACTGCGCCACTCATGCTGCCTTGACCACTGCAGGGGCCTGGGCCCCCCCACCACCAGCAGGGGCCTCCTGCGGGCCTCAGCTGGAAAGGAGACACAGTGGGCGGCCCCTCCCAGACGTGCCTGCCGTGAATGATGCAGAGCAGGTGAAGGTGTCCTCTCAGCCACTGGCGTCCCCTGCCAGGCTGCCCAGCCAAGCACCGGTGTTCTCCGACTCTTCTGGCCTCGAAGACCACCAGCCTGCCCCAGCCTCCGCCATGGGTGCCCCGCATGTGGTGTGGCCACGTCCCTGTAAGCTGAGCCCATATGGGGGCAGGCCGGTGGGGCGGTCACTACCTCTGGGCGGGAGCACTGTGCTGGGGACGCAGGTCATCCTGCACCACGCTGCCCAGCCCGTCCTTCTCCACACAGTCCTGGATGACCTGCAGCACGATGCGGAGCCGACGGTCCAGTGCCTCCAGGTGGGGCCAGTACAGGATGGGGGCCACACGGTCCTCCCGCAGGGACTCGGCCATCAGCAGACTCAGCTTGTACTCCTCCTTGGCCAGCAGCTGCAGCCGCAGGTGTGTGGACTTCCTGATCCTGCAGGAAGACGCAGGGGATGCATGCTCAGGGTCTCCCTCTGCATGGCAGGGGCACTGTCCTGCCCTCCCTCTGTACAGCGGGTTGGGGGGGGGAGCGGGTCTGTGAAGGCCGGGTTAGTGCTGGGGCCCAGCCCATCCTCCTGAGACAGTCACCAGCTGACCTGGTCACTGTGAGACGCAACATGCAATGGTCCCCCTGAGCTTCAGGGCAGGGGAGCTGGGCCAGCCTGGCAGCCCCGGTCTGGGGCTGGGGCTGTGGGCATCCCTGTTCTCTGTGGTATGAAGTTCCGGGGGTCCAGACCCCGATGTGTGGTGGCAGTGCAGGGGCAGGGCATACCTGCAGCACTGCTGGAGGGGTGCCAGGATGGACAGCTCGTCGTGAGAGTATTTCCCGAACCTGTACAGAGAGACACCAGTCAGGGTCACAGTGTGAGGGGGTGTGAGCGGTCTGCACTGTGGTGCTTCATGGGGTTGGGGATGGGAGACAGGGAAAGGGAACAGGATGGGGAACAGGAGACGGGACAGGGGACAGGATGGGGGACAGGGACAGGGAACGGGGGACAGGGTTAAGGCATAGCGGAGCCCAGGGTGCGGGTGTGCCCACAGCCAGCAGATGCATCACCACAGTGGGCACATCCCCTGACCCGGGAAGTGTGGCAGGGTCTAGACCCGGCAGTTGGTGTGAGAAAGGTCAGCTGGTGTCTATGAGGTTGAGGGCTGACATGGAGCCTACACTGACCCCAGGCTCACTGCTGCCCATATAGTAGCCGCCCGCCACCCAGGCCTCCAGTTTGCCCACTGAGGCTGCCCCAGGGAAGGGCAGGGCAGGTCATTGTCCAGGCACAGATGGACCTGCCTGGGGGTGGGGAGGTCTCTCTTCTACTCCACCTGCTGGCAGTGTGTTGGGTCTTAGCTCCTCAGAACCCGCAGCCCCCCTCAGTCCCCTCAGGCTCCCTCAGTCCCCACAGCCCCTCGGTCCCCACAGCCCCTCAGTCCCCACAGCTCCTTGGTCCCCACAGCCCCTCAGTCCCCACAGCCCCTCCTCAGTCTCCACAGCCCCTCGGTTCCCACAGCCCCTCAGTCCCCACAGCCCCTCGGTCCTCACAGCCCCTCAGGCCCCCTCAGTCCCCACAGCCCCTCGGTCCCCACAGCCCCTCAGGCCCCCTCAGTCCCCACAGCCCCTCGGTCCCCACGACCCCTCGGTCCCCACAGTCCCTCAGGCTCAACACTCCCTCAGTCCCCAGAGTCTCTCAGTCCCCTTCAGTGCTTCTCAGTCCCCTCAGTCCCCGTCAGTGCCCCGCGCCCCCTGTCCCCCCAGCCGCCCATATCCCCATGCACTGCAGGCAGTGATGAGCTGCTTGTGGGTTTCTGAGCGAATGAGGTGGCAGCATCAAGACCTCTTTTTCCCTGGCGCTATCATTCCCACCGGGACCAGAAGCCAGTACAGCCCCATGCTGAGCAGGGCCCGTAGGACCACAGCCTCTCCCACGCACTGGGGGGGGGGGGGGGGGTGTGCCAGGGCTCACCCTCGGCCATTGTCCAGGTGGATGATGAAGGTCTCGTTCCCAAACTTCTCAAAGGTCTCATAATGGTGCCGGTCCATGTTGCCTGTGGGGAATGCCACCATAGCGGCCGGGACAATGACCGTCTGTCTCCATCACAGGGCACCCTTTTCCCAGGCCACGTGGCTATCCCCCTCCAGCCCGGGCCACAGCGAGGGGACCCCCAGTAGCCCCTCCCTGTGCTCTGTCCTAGACCTACCCATGAGGAAGTCAAAGATGGTCATGTCCATGATGTCTAGCACACGGTGGGTCCTGTCGTACGGGGGTGTCTGCTTCACCTCCTGACAGTAGTCGGGGTCCACTTCCCACCTGCGGGTGGAGGAGGAGCCTGATCTGTAGGAACAGGACTGCCCAGTGCTGGGGAGCAGAGGGCAGAGGGGACAGGCCTGCTGGTGCTGGGGAACATGAGGCAGTAAGAAGGATAAACTTGGGGGCTAACCCGGTGCCTGCGGGCTGCTGGGGCCCGAGGCAGGCATGTCCGGAGGTGATGAGGGTCAGGTAAGGGCTTCATAGGGACACGGAGGTCTCGAGCTGAGCCTGTGCCAAGATGCTCTTGATTCTAGACCTGCCACGATGTGGCTCAGGGCACCCTATCCGGGCCACCGCCACTCACTCTGCCTTCTTGCGCTTGTGGTAGGAGCGACGCCAGGGGTTGCGCCAGGTCTTCCTCTTGGCTATTGACAGGTCCGGCAGAAAGGCGGCCAGCGAGCCCTCGATCTGGTCGGGCTTCCCGCAGAGGGCGTGCTCCGTGGAGCAGTAGTATGAACACTCCCCGTAGAAGCAGATGTTGTTGGCTGGGGGCAGAGGGTGCCGTGGCTCAGACGGACACTCACCCCTGGCCGGCCCAGACCCACGTGAGGCCAGACTCTCCCCACGTTTTCCCTGGTGCTCCGAACAGGCCTCCTCCTGCTCTCCAGGCCCCGAAGCCCGTGAGAACACAGCTCCAGGGCAGGCCCAAGGCAGCACCTGCATCCAGCTTCCTTGGTTGGGGGGAGCCGTGAGTGCTGGACAGCAGCTGTGACAGCCTGCCCAGGAGGGATGGAGGGAGGAGGGGGAAACCATCTGCACGCCAGTCCCAGCTCGGTAACAAAGAACCACATTCATCAACAGACAAGGAGCTGAGCAGGTATTTCTCTGAAGAAGACACACAAGGACTGACAAGGGCATGGCAAGATGGTCAAGGTCATCGGTCAGCAGGAAACACAAATCAGATCCACGGTGGTGCCGCCTCATGCCCACTGGGAAGATGGAGCCAAAAGAGTGACAAGGCTGGTGAACCTCGAGCCCTGGGCTCTGGGCAAAGGTGTGGCCACAGCATGGCCTCTCCCAAAGGCATGTGTGGAGTCCGCTCATGGCACACAGGGACCAGCCAGAGAGCTGGAAGTACACAAGTACACAGTGACACACACGAGCAAATGCCACACACACTCGCAGGAGGAGCCAGTGGACAGACAGCAGACGGGTTGGATTTGGGTCTGAAGAGCGGGCAGCACTCAGTGAGTCAGCTGAGTGGGTGACAGTCTGGGGCACCTCCAGGGTCGACCACAGCCGTGATCCCAGCACTGTCTGGAGGGTCGTGCAGGGACCAGGAGCCAGCACTTAGAGGGCCCCCTCCGAGACAAGGCCTCTTGGCCCCTCTCAGGAAACAGTCACACTGGGTCTCCTGGAAATCTGTCGTCTTTGTGAGAACTGAAGCAAGTGGGGCTCCTCCCAGCCCCTGGACAGTTCTAACCCCTGGGGGTGGGCAGCAGCCCTCCATGTGGGAACCTGTGAGAAGGTGAGTGTGCCCTGACCATCTCCAGGTGAATGTGCCCTGACCCCTCCAGATGAGTGTGCCCTGGCCCCTCCAGGTGAGTGCCCTGACACCCCCCAGGTGAGTGTGATTTGACCCCTCCAGGTGAGTGTGCCCTGACCCCTCCAGGTGAGTGTGCCCTGACTCCCCTTGGTGAGTGTGCCCTGACCCCCTCCCCACGGTGAGTGTGCCCTGACCCCTCCCGGTGAGTGTGCCCTGGCCCCTCTCCAGGTGAGTGTGCCCTGACCTCCCCAGGTGAGTATGATTTGACCCCTCCAGGTGAGTGTGCCCTAAACGCTCTAGGTGAGTGTGCCCTGACTCCCCCTGGTGAGTGTGCTCTGACCCCTCCAAGTGAGTGTGCCCTGGCCCCTCCAGGTGAGTGTGTCCTGACCCCCACAGGTGAGTGTGATTTGACCCCTCCAGGTGAGTGTGCCCTGACCCCTCCAGGTGAGTGTGTCCTGACCCCCACAGGTGAGTGTGATTTGACCCCTCCAGGTGAGTGTGCCCTGACCCCTCCAGGTGAGTGTGTCCTGACCCCCACAGGTGAGTGTGATTTGACCCCTCCAGGTGAGTGTGCCCTGGCCCCTCCAGGTGAGTGTGTCCTGACCCCCACAGGTGAGTGTGATTTGACCCCTCCAGGTGAGTGCCCTGACCCCTCCAGGTGAGTGTGCCCTGACTCCCCCTGGTGAGTGTGTCTTGACCCCTCCAGGTGAGTGTGCCCTGACCCTTCCAGGTGAGTGTGTCCTGACCATCTCCAGCTGAGTGTGCCTTGTTTGTGCCCAGCTATGCCCATTGCCATCCGTGTTGTGTCTGACTACAGGGATCAGAGCCAAACAAGGTCCCCATGAGGACATCCCCTGTGCTGCTGAGTGGTGACAGATGGGGTCTCGAGGCAGCCCGCTCCCTGTCTCTGTGCACCAGAACCAATCATGTCGCCTGGGCAGGTGGGGAGTGGGGAGTCTGGCCGGCCCTGAGACCTTCCTGGGCAGCTGGGATGGTAAAGCTCTGGATGCCAGTCTGGACCCTGCGAGGGTGGCATGGCATGGCCCCCTAAAGAGGCAGAAGGGCCAGGGGAGGCCTCCTGGGAGAAGTGGTACTGCTGGCCGGTGTGTGCGGGAACCGGGCCATGGGGAGCCCATACCTGGGGAGATGAAGAAGGTTCTCCACAATTTCTTGTCCCTTGTGACGTCCCGGATCTCCTTAGTCATGTTGACCATCCTGCCAGCCACAGGAGGGACCCGGCGGAAGTCCAGGATCCTAGTAGGAGGGACAGGCGACAAAGAGATTCATACTGGTTGTCCTAGTCCCAGAGCCCCAGGCTGGGGCCCTCAGCTGTGCAGGGGCTGCAGTGAGGGGAGTGGCCAGTCTCACATTGCCATGGGTAGCCTGACACTGGCCTCTGCAGAGGGGGCGAGGGGTGGCATGTGGGGTCCCGAGTTCCCTGTGAGGGGGTCTGGAGAGACCCTCAGGGTGCAGCTTCTGCCAATTCAGGCTCCACACATGGGAATGTGATGGACCTTTCAGACTTGGGAGTCCAACAAAGGGTCCTTCTGATGGCCACGTGTCTGTGAGAGCCACAATTCTGAAAACGCAAATTGTTGTCTGAGGTAGGGGTGCTGGGGCAGCACAGGGACCTGACTAGGACACAGGTGCTGGGCTACTGTTGTGACATGAGAGGACATCGGTGCTGTGACCATGGGGGGTCGTGGGTGCTGGGATAGTGCTGTGACACGGGACATGGGTACCACTGTTGGATGCTGTGCTGGAGGCCAGTGATCATGGTCAGGTCAGGTGTGAGGCTCCGGGGGTCAAGGGTGGGTCCATGTCTCTGACCCCACACCCACCCAGAGCCAGACCCCTCCCCAGGTGAGAAGTCCTGAGCAGGCCAAGGCTGTTAGGAAGCACCATGGCCACCACCGGCATCTGTCCTCTCATCTACTGGACCCCTGATAGCCCTAAGGGTCTCAGTCTGCTGTCCCAGACCTGAATTTCTGGGGGCAATGTCCCACCCCACGGTCACTGGCAGTTCTCAGCATAAAATCTGGAAACTCGGTCCAGTGGTCTTGCTGTGCCTGAGGCCTGGGGATGGATGGCACCTGACCTGGAGGGTCACGAGCCTGAACCCCATCCTCACTGGGATGAGCTGGGTCACCTGCTCGCTCTGCACCCAGGGGCCAGGCTGGGTAGCTCACCTGTCCAGGTGGAAGGCAGCGATCTCTGCATTGTGCCTCTCGTAGTCAGAGAAATAAAAGAAGTCTGGGGGTGTCTCCTGCTCCCGCGTCTGTCTAGAGAAAGCAGAGGACAGGGATTGTCCCTGTGTCCCCGAGAGCCAGCGATTGCCACATGGCTAAGTTGCGTCTCGAAGGTGCCCACGTGAGCAGCAGTGTCGAGGCTGAGACGCTGTGCCTGCTCCAGGCTGGCCTACAGAAGGATCACCACATGTGCGGGGAACATGCTCAGCCCCAATACAACCTCCCTGGCCGGTCGCAGGCTGGCACTTGTGTGCCCAGCTCCCTTACTCTTCCTCCCTTTTGGCTCTTCTCTCAGCCTCAGAGGCTGCAAGGGCTCTGCAGGCAACACCTGTGGCCACTGCTTGGTCCCCTGGGGCCTCCAAAGCCTCTCATTCCCTCTCCCCTGAAGCCCTGTGTGTGTTCTGGGGGGCCCAGTGCTTTTGTGGCTCCTTCTGGGCTGCTCCTGGGATGACCCTCACATCCTCAGGATGACCTTCATGGCCCCAGGACAACTGTTCATTCCTGGGATGCAACCCTCAGGAGCCCAGACTGAATGGTCAGCTGGGATTGAGGGCGGGTGCTGCCCTGCCCAGGGCCATGCTGTAGCTGACATCACCACTGGCCTCAAGGGCCTCAGAACTCCCCCAATAGCTCTGACAAGAACCTCTGGCACCAATGACATGCTCCATGAGCCTGGCTGGGTCGTACATGCATGAACTGGCTGCTCACACACGAGCCTGGCTGGGTCATGCATATATGATATGGGTTATCCATGAATGAGCCTGGCTGAGTTGTACATGCCTAATGTGGGTCAGACATGAATAAGCCTGGCTGGGTCATATATGCATGATATCAGTTACACATGGGGCTGTGCAATAACACAGCAGGTAGGGCATTTGCCTTGCACGCGGCCAACCCGGCCAACCCAGGTTCAATTCCTCCGCCCCTCAGGGAGAGCCCGGCAAGCTACTGAGAGTATCTCGCCCACACAGCAAAGCCTGGCAAGCTCCCCGTGACGTGTTAGATATGCCAAACACAGTAACGAGTGTCACAATGGAGACGTTACTGGGCCTGCTCGAGCAAATCATGAACAACGGGAGGACAGTGACAGTGTCAGTGTTGGGTTACACAGTTTCTCTCTCCTTCAGGACCAGTGCTGCTGGGATTTAATTGTTTCTAACTGAAAAAAGGAAATGCAAATGCAAGTGAGATTTTTTTCCTGCAGAATTTTGGCTGCCTCCCCCTGTACTCTCTGCCCTGGCATTTCCACATGCATTCTACCACTTATTTTCAGTCTGTAATGGAATGAAATACAATTTCCTGGAGAATATTGGCTACGGGTACTTTTTTCCCACCATTCCCTGAAGAGGCCACTGGGGGTGCTAACCACATAAAGCCCCTCAGGGCCACGCCCAGTTCCCTTACTCAGCAGCAGACCTCAACTCAGGGTGGGGCATCCTGTGTCTGCTCCTGGTGAGGCCCCACGCCCATGGGGTGCCCAGGGGTCTGCGCCATGTAGAGAGCTGGCAAGGCACTGCCGCAAGGCATCTCCAGTAGTTCGTGGTGTCTTAGCAGGTTCCGGATGTGCTGGAGTCACCAGGGGCCTCCTCTGCACTTTCTGTGGGTGGGTTTAGGCGTGGGCAGGCCACTAGGCCAGGGCGCACTGTCCCACACAGCCTGGCTCTCCTCTTGCATGGCCTCTGCACTCCACCTGCCTTTCCTGGACAGCGGGCTCTGACTCTGCTTCAAAGTGCTGGCCCTAGGGGCTGGAGTGATAGCACAGCAGGTAGGGCGCTTGCCTTGCATGGGGCTGACCTGGGTTCGATTCCCAGCATCCCATATGGTCCCCCGAGCACCGCCAGGAGTAATTCCTGAGTACAGAACCAGGAGTAACCTTTGTGCATCACTGGGTGTGACTCAAAAAAAAAAAAAGTGCTGGCCCTAGGGCCGGAGTGGTAATACAGTGGGGAGGGTGCAGGCCTTGTAGGTGGCCGACCTGGGCTCCATCCCAGCATCCCATGTGATCCCTGAGTACCGCCAGGAGTTATTCCTGAGTACAGAGCCAGGTGTGACCCCAAAAGACAAAATAAGTAAATAAATAAAAGTGATGGCCCTCCCCCGTGTCCCAGCAGAACCCCCAGATTCACACCTCCTCCTGGGCGTCCACACCCAAGCGAAGCCTCCTGCACCTTCAGGCTTGGAGCCAGACCAGCTCTGACCCTACATCACCATCTCCTGGCTGGAGCTGCTTCCTGTCCTTTCCCACCTCTGCATCTGCTCACTCCAGCCTCCCCAGAACCGGACAGTCCCAATTCCAGCTCCCTGCTGGCTGGGCCGGGGCAGAGCTCGCTAGCCACGTGCCTTCCTTCCACAGCCTTTCAGCAAACAAAAGAATGGATGTGAAACTGAAGAAGTATAGATCCACCTGTGATCTTGGTCTCCCCACCCACTGCCCCGTCTCCACCATCACCACGATTACAACCCGGCACCAGCACCTTCCCACCTCCCCCATGATCGTCATCCCCGGGGCGCTGGTCTCCCACTGCCCGACGAGTTCTGGTGAGGGGGAGCTCTTAGTAGTCTTGTCTGCCTTTGCTCCTTACCTACTCACCCGGACTGCAGCACACCTCTCCAAGAGGCTCTCCAACCTGCTTCTGGCTCCCTTCCCACCCTTCCCTCACTGGGGACTCCACCAGAGTTTGCTCCCAGCCTTAGGGGCCAGGAAGTGCAGGGAAGGTGATGAAGCACCCTCGGTTCAGCACCCAGTGACCTTCTGACTGTGCTGGGTCAGGTAGCAGCAGGTGTGAGCCATTTTCAGGAGGGAGGCCTTAGGGCCAATCCCTAAGCTGGGTCCGAAAGCTGGGACCTAGCTCCGCAGCCGGGAGGCCCTTAGGCCGGTCCTGACTTTATGTCCAGAGAGGGCTCCATGGCTACTGAGTACTTAGGGAACTCTGAGGGGGCTGGATGCCCCCTCCCCCAAATAATGAAGATCCCTGTGGGCTGCCTGGGGAACCTGGGCCAGGGGCCCCACAAGACACTGGGTGGGGGTGGTCAGCAGGACAGGAGGCCATGGTCAGGGCTGGATACGGACCTGACACCTCTGCAGGACAGTGGCAGCCCCCTCCCCTAGCACAGGCTGCAGGAGCCTTGGGGGAAAGTCCTGGACTGGCACCTGTGTTCTCTCCTGCTTCTGCTTCCTGGCAGGGACACCCCCGGTTCTGGGCCCCTTCCTGTGGATGTACAGCAGAGGAGGGCCCCCTTTTGGCGGAAGAGGGCTTGCCCCCCTGGGGTGAGCACCCACAGCAGATGAAGGTTCCCAGACCACACAGCAGCAGACAGACCCACAAGCCAGGTCTGACCACTCCCTGGGCCCTGTGCGTGAGGCAGGAGCACCTAGGCTAGCCTGTGTGGGTGGGAATGCCTGATGGAATCCTGGGAGAAACAGCCCAAATGGAGCTGAGGTGACCTCTGTGGTGGAAGAGTCAGGAAGCAGTTCTGTGAGATACAGATGGATGGCCTTGAAGGAGGCAGCCTCAGTTTCCCCTTGCCAGTGAGAGAAGCCACAGTTCTCTCTTGTCAGATGCTTCATCTCTCCCTCACCCACCTAACACAGACTTCAGGCCCTGTCTTAACATCCCCAGACCATAAAATTCTGTCCTGGAGCCCAGGCTCAGGGAGTGCACAATGCCTGAGGCAAATGGCTAGAAAGACAAACCAGCAATTTTCTTACATCCTCCGACAAGAAATGTAAAGATCCCAATTTCCACATAAAAGGGTCTACAGGATGAACCTCGCATCCTCTGGAACATTTGTCAATTGGTAAGAAATTCTACGGATCAGAGACCCTTTAAAAAGGCTTGTTACACAAAACCTCCTTACTTTTTTTTTTTTTTTTGCTTTTTGGGTCACACCTGGCGATGCTCGGGGGTTACTCCTGGCTCTGCACTCAGGAATGACTCCTGGCGGTGCCCTGGGGACCATATGGGATGCTGGGAATCGAACCTGGGTCGGCCGCGTGCAAGGCACTCTACCCGCTGTGCTATCACTCCAGCCCCAAAACCTCCTTACTTTTTTTTTTTTGGCTTTTTGGGTCACACTGGCGATGCACAGGGGTTACTCCTGGCTCATGCACTCAGGAATTACCCCTGGCGGTGCTCGGGGGACCATATGGGATGCTGGGAATTGAACCCGGGTCAGGTGCGTGCAAGGCAAATGCCCTACTTGCTGTGCTATCACTCCAGCCCCTAAACCTCCTTACTTTTAAGTTAGTCCTATACCAAGTTTCTCCCCTCGAGAAGCTTCTTTTCTCTTCTACTTTTCAACTGACACTGAGCATCTTTATTATTCAGTATTTTCATTCTTGAAAATATTGAAGAACCTGGGAATCGCAAACAGACATGCCACCGCTGCTGCGCTGCCCCACCCGCCTCATTTGGGGGCTTGTCTGGGATCACACTCCCTGCAGAAAAATGGTAAGTGTGCCGGACTTGAGCTCTGTTACCTGTTTCTTTGCTTTTGGACACCTAGTCGCATAGTCCTATCAAAAAATGAGGGCATCCACAGCCTCACACTCTAGGGGTAGAGGCAGCTCAGATAGAGAAGGGAGCACCAAATAAAGGGTGTTGAGAAGATCCGCCCAGGATGGGAGATGCATGCTGAAAGTAGACTATAGACCTAACATGATTGCCACTCAATGCCTCTTTTGCAAACCACAGCACCCAAAAGGAGAGAGAGAACAAAAGGGAATGCCCTGCCACTGAGACAGTGTGGGATGGGGGGATGGGTGGGTGGTGGGATACTGGGATTAGTGGTGGTGGAGAATGAGCACTGGTGGAGGGATGGGTACTCGATCATTGTATTTTTAAGTCTACAACTTTTTTACAACTTGTACAACTTTTAAGTCTACAAATTTTTTAAGTCTACATGAGGTACAACTGTACCTCATGGTATTTCGCTAATAAAAAATTTTAAAAAAAGAAAATAAAAATCACTTCACCCCTTCCTCCAAATAGTTGAGTTAAATAAAATATTCTTAACTACAAAAAAAAAAATGA